GCTGTAAAAAAACTAGTGTTTAATTAAATTAAAAAAATATATAAAATATTAAAAAAGAAATACTTAAATATTTAAAGACTGTTTCTTGAAGTGAAGCATGTAAGTTATTTATTATCTCAAAACTACTAAAAATCTTAGTATATAATGCCAAAACAATCATTATGCTTAAAGGAGAGTTGAAAATATGTTATTACTATTAGTATACATATATTATTATGTAACAAATATTAAATATTTATAAATATGTACTTTAAACAAGTCTTAAGTAATGAATACATAATAATTTCCTACCATATTATTAATTTTAAAAGTATTAGTTATGAAATCGATTATTATGATAAGTAATATTTATAAGTGATATTATTTTTTATATTACAAATTTTTACTTCTATAAATAACTACTTGTAATATAATTATGTTATAGAACAATTTAGTAAAAACGTACCAAAATCTCCTATCAGAGAGCTTCTAGAACTAGAACCAGAAACTGCTAAATTTAGGTGAGTAACACTTAAAAAATATTATTAATAAATTGTTTTTTGATAGGAACACTGAACAGTGATAAGTTCTATGCATATGACGTGCATATTTATGTCATTTGAACCATATTTTTCAGTCACAATATAATACATTTTATGAGTGTTAATTTGGGTTAACTAGATATACTTTTTCAGTGGGATTTAATTTTGTTATCATGAAAGCAGACAATTTTTTTTGTCTGCGCCAGTGGTGACATGGGGGTGAAATGGGCATGGAACATGAAATCAGTTCTGCACCATTGGCTTTTTATTACCCGAGTAAAAAGTTTTGAGAGGGTAGGGGGTTTTCCAATTTTCCTCTCCCATTTATAGCTGTTGTTTTTTTTATCCCCCCTCTTTTCAGAAATCATGTCTACACCACTGGTCTCCGCATACATTACATTTTCTATATTAAATACTTATGTACAATTGCATCGGAGAGGTTTTGAGCCTTTGAGGTATTCTTATAGTTAGTTGAATTTTTTTTTTTCTGGAATAATTATTGTTACTTATTTGTAAGTATTTGATCATGACGTAAATTAGAGTCAAACAGCATTTGTCCTAAAATTATTTTGGAGACATGATAATTGTGCCATTAAAAAAAGTTTTTTTTTCTGAAGTAAATTTTTTCTGCATATAACCTAATACACATAAAATGTGTTAAGTTCATAGGATATTTGATATTATTAAGATGGTTTTTATTCCTATTATTTCTAGTAAACCTGAAAAGCTGGCAGATGGTCGACGAGTCCGGGTTGTAGTTGAAATATTTGGCAAAGGAGAATTTAAAGGCATCGGTCGTAATTATAGAATCGCTAAATGCACAGCAGCCAAATGTGCCTTAAAACATCTAAAGAAAAAGATAAAGAAATAGATTATAATCTATATACTTTACAGTATTAATTGAGGATACAAGTATATTAAGTGATATCTGTGAAAGTATGAAATTTATTTTAGATTTACGACATTCAATTATTTGATATATTTGATATTTATATAAATTATTTTAATTGTATTTGAAATACTTTATTTTTTATTCAATAAAAGTATTCATTTTTTCTATAAAATATAAAATGCTTATAATTTGTTTTTCCTCTTCTTGTTTAATATTTTAGATTTTGAGCATAGTGATTAATGTATTAAATTTGCAATGATGTGGGTTTTTTTTATGTCTGAAGACAATTTTTCTAGAAGAAAAAATGTGTTGATGGATGCAAGTTGGTAAGTACTTTGAGAGGTCAAAATAAAAAATTCTCAGTATTTTTTAAAATAATTGGGAAAAACTAAAAATAAATATAAACATTAGTTAAAATTTAAATATTATTATAAAAATAGTTATTTGATAACCTTTGTTACCGAAAATAAATTCTTTAATTTTTTCCTGTACAAGATTGGTCAAAAAAATACCATAGAATGCTACTCGATATTTTTCCTTTTCAAGGAAAATCTATGAATCATAACATATGTTTTTGTTAATAAGTAACTATGATAACAAAAACTTTACGAAAAATTGGTTAGAAACAAAATATGTGTATCCAGCCCATAAACATATATATGTTAAAAAATATATAATGAAATATACTTAGTAATATAGGCTGACAAACCGTCATAAGCAAAGAATCGTTTTTTGTATGGAATGATTTACCATTGAATTCAAATTTAGCATATACATTACAGTGACTTACATTACATTACAGTAATTAATGACAAAGCAAAATCTATACCTACTATATAGTAGAGCATATAATATCTACTTTCTCCCTTTTTAAAAATGTATTGAAAGTGAAAGTTAACATTGAAAAATAATGGGTGTGCATTTACTTAGATTGTAGTAAATGTAAATGTAATAAATTATTTATTGCTTAATATTATGTTTATAATTTTTTTTACTAAAATTTTAGTTTGTTACCATTAAGCTGACTAAGTAATCAAGATCTTATTAGTTAATTTTCATACATTACTTGCTTTAGTATTTAGTTATCACTCTGCTCAGTTGTGGAATTAAATGTACAATATTAATATTGAAGGAATAATATAATAAGAAAGGAGACAATCATGAGTTATAATTAGTTAGGTTTAGTATGACGATTTGTCAGTGTGGATATTTTATATTACATTTATATTGTAATTACAGTAGAATCCGCTCATTACAATGCCGTTTATAACAATATCCTGTATACAACGATTTCCAGCCATGTTCTTGGTTGCTCTTAAATCTCACGTGCAGTATATTTTGGTCATCCGGATATAACGAAGTTCGGATTTAACAATCTGATTATCTAGGTCCCTTGAAGATAGTTATAAGCGGAATCTACTGTACTTATTATTAATATGGTAGCCGCCAGCTGGTAAGTTGAATGAATATTATAAAATTACAACCAAATAACTAAAATTGTTATTCTTGGTTATTTGATATGTATTAATAATATATTTCCTCCAAATTTGAACATAAAATAACTAAGGCTCTATAATATGTCTAATATAGCTCTCTAAAAAAAAACTAAAAAAAACCTGTGTTTTTAGATTTTTGAAAATTTTGGTTACAGAATAACCTACTTACTTGTTGTAAGTTTCCAATCCTTAGCTATAAAAGTTGAACATTTTATAAATTTTTAACTACAAAATCATAATTAAATTTTAAATTTGATGAATGTGATCAAAAATCGATCTTTAAGTGTTTATAAAAAAAAATTTGTGACTGGATTTTTAATATTTTTCAAATGTCATTGTAATTATATATTAATAGCCTTGTATTCAATTTTCAAGCTTTTTTACCAAACAAATAACATTTTATTGACATTCATACAAAACAAAATTGGAAACTCAAAATGTCCATAAACAGTTCAAAACAAATCAATGTTTTGAAAATTTTATCGTATATAGAAAATTCTAACATAAGTAACCGGTGAAAATTACATGTGTCGCTTGTTTTAGAGTTACACATTTGTATTAGAGATTTTGCATAAAAATTTCCGTTTTTCCTTAATTTTTCAATTCTTTTTCCCTGCACTTTCGAAAACTATTAGACATTGTTTAGTTTTGACATCCCTCCTCCCCTCCCCTTCCCGAAGTACCAAATAGACTCACTTTCCTAACAGAAAAGATAGTGTTGAAGAAAATTGAAGCATTTTTACTGTCCTAAAAGGCGATGGACACAAAAAAAAAAAAAAAAAACACACATTATTGTAAATTCAATTTGTATGTAATAAATACCAAAATTATAGTAATTAACAATTTTTTAACAAGAAATTATTGTATCTCAACTATCACAATATTTTTAGGCTTATCTGCAGTATTAAGTGAAAGATAACTTTTATTATGAAGACATAAAGAAAATAGATGGATTAAATATGTTTTATAGTGTGAGAGAAAGACAATTAGTGAGATAATTAGCCACCACAGTTAGGTTGGGTACAGTATGAGTTGTTATTGAGCCCTAATTTGTAGGTGGGGTATAGTAACATTAACATTTTAGAATAAATGTTAAGATACCTAATGCAACAATATAGAAAGTAATTTCGATGTAAAACAAGTCTTATACCAAGCCTATATTATAATATTGTGTAATACATTTTACATAATTTTATACAGTATTACCTAATAAAATTTAATGAAATTAAACCTTTCAATCTGACCTTTCAACTTCTTTAAAATATTTTTTTGAGTATAATAATTTCAACATTTTACAAAAATAGAAGTGGTTATACCTCTAGGTTGACGAGGGCTGGTTTTAATTTCTGATCGCTCTAACATTCATATGAATTAATACTACAAGTATTTAATCAACATTTTGTATAATATACCACAACTGTAACTGGTTGTTTATTGGTTTCGAAAGTAGTCAAATTAAAAAACAAGTATTATTTATTTTAGAAATTAACTTATTGCATTTTCCACCAGGGTTACATGATATAATTATTATTTAATAACAAAAAAAAAAAATTATGCACTAATAAATTGTAATCTTTTAAAAATTAACAATAATATAGACTCAACAGATAAATCATTAACACAGTACAAAAATATTTTTATAAGTAATTTAAAATTGTAAGTACAATATAATTAGTACTAACAAATAACTAATATAATATATGTATAATTGTTTTCATATTTAAATAAAAACTAAAATGTATAAAAATATATTATTGAATTAAAAAAATAATTAGAATAATTTGTTTACATAATTTTAGTAATTTAACTATACAAAAAGTTATACAATTTAAGTATTAATAGGGTATTTGAAATTTATCGCAATATAATGATAGTTATTAATAATAGTATGAAAACTTTAAAACTTACATAAGTACATAACTTAAAGCAAATTATAAACACTAGGCCATTTTTGTGTAATAACTAGTAACATTATTGAAAAGAAAATTTGAGTTAGGTAGTATAAACTTAGAAAACTGATACCTACTCGTCAAAATCAATCATAAAATATATTTAACCAGGACCCACTTAGGGTATGAATAAAACAAACATTTAATTTACATTAGAACTATTTGTAGATATTTCTTCGGCAGATTTTAATTCCAGTAAAGAATTGAAAATTCTACCATCAACCAAGTGCGTAAGACCTTCACCAGCGTAAGATAATAGAGGTGAAATCTCACATTCAATGTTTTCTGTTGTAAATTGTCCTCCAGATTTTTCAACAAATTTTCTATGAAGTGAAAAGACATCTAAGCGAGAAGTTTTAGGGTTATCTTTACCATTGGGCACATCTGCATTCTTCAAAGCACTAAATTCTTCGTCTCTTTCTACTTCCCAAACAGCAAGACGATTGCAAAATTCAAATACATCAAATATAAATTTCTCCATTTTGATACCATTTGGTTCTTCTGGTTTGCATACGATGCCATCATCATTCACAAAAGATATTTTTTTTTTAGCCACATGCAGTTTTAATTTACTATTATATTTATGTGCAACACTGTTTAAAAAATCAGTTGTAAAAAAATGGTTGCAAATATTACCAGCACTAAAGGTTAAACGACCATCAGGATTTCTTTTTTCAGCTGTGGTTTCAGTGATTTCACTATATTCAACAACTTGAAATTTTCCATCAACTTCACATACAACACCTAGTGGCTCAGAAGGATATGCTTTTTCAACGACTTTTGCCCCACATTCAGCATTCTTTGTTATGCAGTACCCAATAAATATTGGATCTGCTACTTTAACTAATATATTATCTACACTATGAGCATGGAGGTATTGAACACCTAGCCTTTTAATCTCATCCAATATGTTACGATCACGTAAAGCTTTATATATACCACCGTTACCATCTGGAGATTTAGATATTTTATTTAAGCCTTCCATAATGATTTTCCCATCAAATGTAAATGCTGGCAACATATATTGATCAAAAAAATAAATTTGTTTTTCATCTAGGCCAAAATAATTATTTTCCTTGAAGTATTTACGAGTAGGTTCCATAGTGTGTTCACTAGTCATTATAAACCAAGGTAAACCTTTACTGCTTCCAAAATCTTTATTTGCTAGCCTAATCAGGCAGCGAATACGTTCCCCTTGTATACGGTATAATGATTTATGAGAAGGTAAACCGATGTCATACATACCTTTAGGGTAGTTAACTCCAAGCCTTGTACCTTGCCCTCCAGCCATTAACAAGACTCCAACTTTACCTTGAGATATCTGCTCTAGTCCAATTTGCTCATATTTAATCAAAAGTTCTTTTGGGCTACGGTTCACAGCACCGTATAGTTCAGCGGGTATAGGATTCATTCTATTATCCAATTTTTGATGATTGGCATTCATAGTTTCTACAGTTTTTTTAAACATTCCAACCACTTCAGGAATGTTCAGTTCACGAATATCTTCTAACAGAAATTCTTTTTCTTTTTCACTGAGTCTGTTCCAAAATTTAATAATATGTTCTTGATCATATTTTTTAAGCAATGCAGTTATAGAATCAAAGTCAGACATTATTAACAATAATTGAAACTGTAGTATGAAATAATATATAAAAAAAAAAAAAACTTATAAAATGTAGAAAACTTAAGAAAATGTATAAATGTATTGTATCTAACAACTAAATAAAAACTAGAAGCTACAAAGCAACTGCCTAAGCGTCGAGCACCAACTGCCAAGTGTACAGAGGCGAGTGGCCACTGCAGCTGAGTAGCTGAGTAGCCCGCAGCATTGTAAGACACGTTGGGCTTAAATCTTCCACTTTTCACTTTCTATAATAATGTTATGGCGGTTAACTATAACTGATAAAAACTTAATCAAAGAGACTAGATCATATTATTACTCGATGTTCAAACCTTAGATCATATACTTATGACGTATATGATCTAAGATTCAAATCATAGGCCTATCCATAGAATATCTTAATAATATAATACCATTGATTAAATATACATAGATAGCCCACGCCGTGTGATTTATTGGCATCGATTTTTGAATGGATTTGGATCTGAAATATTTTAGTTCTGGATTTCTGCCACCAGGTGGTGATTTGATTTTAAATTTTAACCTTTTTGCAACTAGGATCACTCGACCAAAGGTTCGAATTTTACAATGTGGATGATAAGATTATAAAATATTGATTAGAGAAAATATGAATAATATGAATAATATGATTCTAAATCAATATAATAAAGATTTCCGAATGTTTGCGGGTTGTCAATTGTCGGGTATTGAATGATAATTGTTAACTTGCAATAAGTAATAACTAATAACTGAACCTGGAATTTGGGAATAAGTATTAACACAGCCTAAACTCTTGAAGTTGAAACTGAGTCGTAGTCTGGAAGTTTATCTGTTATAACGTTAACATCAAAATGTCTCGTGGAAACAAATGTGTTTATTATTTATGTGGGAAGAATCCAAGACATAATGCTAACTTAAGTTTATTTGGATTTCCAAAAGATTTAGAAAGATCGAGACAATGGATTAAAAATTCTGGTAAATTCGAGATACCCATATATTTTGTTGCAATACATTGTAAAACAAATTTAAATTGAATAATTAATTTAAATTAATTAAATTAATTTTAATTATACTTCAATATGCTATATTATGCTGTATACCTGTATGTGTTTTTTTCTATGAGTATGTGTACACATTTTATAGCAGTAAAAATTCTTCGATATTTAACTTTGAGGGAAGTTTCTAGTTAAAAATTGAGTGTAGTTTGTCAACATTGATAGTTTCAAATATTTTTCAAAATTATCAGTAAAACCAATGGTGTGTACCACACTACCACTCCGCTGTAGAGCATTGAGTGGATCACTGTAATGGGTGTGTTAAGTTTGATTTCAATGATATATCATTGTATCTATCATTGATTATATTTAAAATACTTTTTATTTTATTGTATATATAGGTGGGTAATTAATGATAATATCAAAAAACCAATACTGAGCCAAAATAATATGTTAACCCAGGATATTTTATAATACAACAATTACACTTTATATTTGATCCGCTCAGGATCTAAAATTTAATATATATTATCTACATCAATTTATTTTGTTTTTATTTTACCAAATTATGTTAAACCAAAATATATAATTTATATGAATAGTTAAAGTTATTATTCGATATTATTCAATCCAAAGAAATTAATTGTTTGAATTTCATAATATTTAATATTATAATTTCTATGACTGTCAATATTTTTACCTTTTTTTACAGGAAACACTGATCTTATACATTTAGAAATTGAAGATTTAAGGAAAAAAAAAATTTGTTCTGATCACTTTTTAGCTGATGATTATTTAAATTTCTCAAAAAAAATTTTAAAGCGTAGTGCTGTACCAGTGCCGTATGAACCTGTAGTGCCGTTTCATGTACGCTCACCAAAAAAACTCTACACATATCCTTATAAATCTTCTGAGAATATGTGCAATTTAGATCCATCTTCAATTTCAAATTATAAATCAACTCCTCTTTCACCTTCATCATTTAAAACTCCAGTCAAACAAAAATTATCATTTATTGATAATTCTGATTCATGTTGTCTTAACTTTGAATCGCCAAAATCTATTCATTTGCTAACACCAACAAAAACTAATTTAACAATAGGATCAAAAGATAACACACCAATTTTAACTCCAAAAACTCGATCATGGTTAGATAGTACACTTAATATGCCAGAATCTTCATCTAATTTTGAAAAACAAATTCAGAAACTAACAGAAACTACAAAAAAACAATCAAATTACATTAAAAAAATGAAAGAAAGAATGGAATTTAAACAAAAAGTGATTTCAAATAAACGTTCAACCATAGCAAAACTTAAAAAAAATCTTAAAAATTCAAGACATTTATTTAAAAACAAAAATATTTTTAATTCTTCAAGTTTTCCATCAACCGATTCTCAAACTCTGGTTAAAATGCAAATCCGTCAAAACATCAGTAGAAAACCATGGACAAACCTTGAAAAAGATTTTTCCCTTAGACTTTATTACAAGTCTCCATCAGCTTACAAATTTTTAAGATCAACAAAAATTAATTTACCTGGTTTAGCAACAATTAAACGTTGGGTTGGTGCTTCTAAATTTAGGCCTGGTTTTAATTCTAATTTATATCAACAAATAAAAATGAAAGTTAGCTCAATGACATATGAAGAAACATTTTGCACCTTAATATTTGATGAAATGAAAATTAAACGATTTTTAGAGTATTCAAAGGTTTTAGATACTGTAGAAGGTTTTGAGGATTTAGGAACTTTTGGGAGGACTTCAGCTATGGCAAGTCAAGCTATGGTTTTTATGATAAGAGGAATTTATTCATCGTGGAAATTACCAGTATCATATTTTTTATCTTCTACATCGATGAAAGCCACTACTCTTTCAGAAATAATTTTAGAACAGATTAATCAGTTGATGACTTGTAAGCTCCATGTGAAAGCAATTGTATGTGATCAAGGACCTAACAATAGATCTGCTTTAACCAAACTTGGTTTTACTAAGGACAAACCCTGGATTGAAGTGAATGGAAATAAAATATTTTCAGTTTATGACGTTCCACATCTTATAAAAAATATAAGAAATAATTTTTTAAGTAGTGATTTTATATTTAAAAATAATAAAGTTTCTTTTCAAGATATAAAAAAAACATATATGATTGATAAAAGTAGTTCAACTTCTCGTTCTCTTTTAAAAATTACTGACTCTCATATTAATCCCGGCCCTTTTAAAAAAATGTCATGTAAACTGGCCTTACAAATATTTAGCAAGTCAATGTTTGCCACTATGCGTACTTGTATTATGACACAAGAGTTAAAATCGCCAACTGCCGCCCATACTGCCGAGTTTGTAAAAGAAATAAATAACTTATTTGATTGTTTGAATAGTCAATCTCTTTATTGTTCAAATCCTTATAAATGTGCTATTTCTGAAGAAAGACCACTAATACGTTTGCAATTGGAAGAAGCTAAACGTTGGTGTTCACAGTTGAAAAAATGTAAAGGCCATGGTCGGCCATATACTTTTGATGGTTTAGAGTGGACAATAAATGCAATATTGGGTGTGTATGAAGAACAAAAGAAAATCGGTTTTCATTACTTGTTAACTGCTCGCTTAAATCAAGATGCTATTGAAAACTCATTTTCAGTTTTTCGGCAAAAGGGTGGATATAATAATAATCCAACTGCAAGGGCTTTTAGAATAACTTTCAAAATGATGACAAAAATGCATCTGATGAAACCTTCAATAGCTTCAAACTGTGAGGCCGATAATGACCATAATATCTTAGAAGTTGATTCATATACAAATGTATTGGAAAATAATGACAACAATGATGATTTAATGGATAGTTCATCTTTGTCTTTTTCATTTGATGATGATGAATCTATTGAAATTCCTATGGTATCTCTGTCTAAATGCTCTGATAAATATTTTAGTGGATATTTGGGTAAAAAATGCATTGAAAAATTTAACTGTAAAAAATGTCAACAATTTATGCTAACAGCCACACCAATTAATTTTAGTGATGAAGATTATTTAATTTTTTGTAGAGCATATGGATCAAAATCAGGTCACTTTGGCTTGAATGTACCAACAGATGATTTTACAAATTATATTTCACATTGTCAAAAATGACTGGCTAAAATTGTTTTAAAAACACCTCATAAACTACAAATTGGATTAAGTGTTAAAAAGTTGATTGTTAAAAAAATATGGCCCAATCTTGATATTGATTCAGAATGTACATCTCATTTAGAATTTGTTACAATGCATCTTATTGAATGTAAATTGTTAAGAGATTTTAACTGGAAATCAAGAAATATGAAAGTTCAAACCTTATCAAAGTTAAAAATATTAAAAAATGTTTGATCAAATTTAGTTAAGTATACAATCAATGTGTTTTTTTTTTAATTGTATTTTATTATACTTTACTTCTATATTATTAATTATAAGGTAATTTATTATAAACGACTTAAATAGTTCAATGTATAATAAATAAATAAGTCTTCAGCTGGAATTTCAATTCCGAAAAAAAAAAGTAAATTAAATAGTTTTAAAAAGTTACATAATATTGTATTATATATCGGTTAACTTTAACCGGACATAGTATAAGAACTAGCCTAATAATAATAATAATTAATAAATAATAATAATCTTTTAGATTATTTCTTATCTCATTGATTATTTCAAATTTCCAAGAATGAACTCTGAACAGTCTGAACTGACGACGATTTTCGGCACTACTGTTATCACTGGTATTTTTAATATTTTATTTCCAACATAAATAATTTAATTTTCAACCGTGACTCTGCACGCCCTCTATTGACATATTATGCTATTAATTAACTAGTTTCCATAATGCCGATTGACGTGGGCTATCTATGTATATTTAATCAATGATAATACCTAAAATAATTAAGACATTATTATTATGCACGGACTAATATCATAGAACAATAGCTAATAATATATCACCTTAATTTGTGATACTAGTATTGTTATATGGTCTTATCACTCTTATCACAGAATAGATTAAATTTATCTATTCTGTGATAATACTATCTTTTTTTTATTTGATATTTTCAGTTGTTTATAGTTCATGAGTTCATCTCACAATTTAAGATCTATTTTGAAATGTGTATGGTTCATGCTAACATGATTAATTTTAAAATCAATGCTAATGCCTTAATTAATGGTATAGAAAGTTAAAATATATTATTATTTGACATTACCAGCCATTAACAACTTGTTATTAACATTGTGAGTTCTTGCGTTAGTGAATCCTCTAAAGATGGAACAAAAATCAGACCAAACTATTGAGTTAGAAACCGAAGTTATCTTAAGAGTTCCATCGGTAATATTTATTCGAAATTGTATCTTTTAATAATTATGTTCATGTTTATTGATATCAGCCAGTCGTTATTTGAAATAAATAAGTTAAGTGATAAAAAAAACGTTCCTTTACATAGCAATATTAATTAAATAATACTTTTAATCTATGCTAGATTACAATATAATATTTTGTTCTAAAAGTTATGATTATTATACATTTTCATTCACATTTTGTGTTTTAGGAAGCTGCTGCTACGTTAAGAGAGTTAATAAAAAAAGATGCCAAAGAACAACTAAGTATAAAACTAGAGAATGATATTCGCAAAGGTGAAGTAATCATCGGCAATCATCATCTATTTGCAAAGGTTTATTTATTTAATTAATACAACAATTAATATATGAAAACATTTATTTTATTATTATAAATGTTCATTAGCAAAGCCAAGTGGTTGAAACCATTTATCACATATATTTTACATAGGTATTAGAAGCTATTTATTGTGTTGTATCATTTTTTTTTTGTCTGTGTAGGTTGTTGATTTGCCAACTATCATTGAAGGACAAAAAACAATTGACAACAAGACTGTGTATAAAACTGCAGATATATGTCAGGTAAAAATAATATTATACCTTCTAAATTATACCTAATACAAAACTTGTAAGTGCATATGAACTTTGGGGATGAAAGATGTATTTGGGTGTCTATGTGTTCCATTTAATTTTTTTAATATATCTCCAAGGACATACTGGAATGTTTTATTCAGAACAGTTGAAATATTATACAGGGTGTTTCTGAAATGGGTGAGGAAACTAGTATATGCGTACTCAATGTGATAGCCCAATGAAGATTTTTTTGAAATTTTTTTCTATCTTCAAAATCTGAGTTTATACAAATTATTATTAGAACATTATCTTAAATGTAAAAAATAAAAATAAATAGCCTAGTCGTATTTTTTGCAAAATTCTCATACGAATCGAGGTGTCACATCATTTGCGCGTTTTTCTCGCTCGAATCAACCAACCAAATCAATCGCCCACAAACATTTTGAAATGCCTTTATAGTCAAATAATATAAAATAAAATATTTAGTTAAAATATCAAATAACACAATTCTGTTGATAACACTATTTCTAATACTATATATATATATATATATATATATTATCTATTGCTAATAATAGCATTTTAAAAATTCAGAATAATATCCCTAATGCCATTGTTATATTCCTCAAAAATATGTTTTTTTTTATTTCGGTCTGTGGTAGTTTAATGTAGTTTAATCTACACTTAGAAAGAAGTTGTAGTAAGTTATTTTTCTAAGTATTAAAATTACTTTACTATAATCATGTTAAATGCAAATTTTAAGGTTGGGTAATATATCTATAGTTAATAAATGTGGGTTATTGTAATTTAAAATGTAATATTTAGTACTCTGTTTAAGACTTAAGACCTTATTTCCCTATTACCTAGAAATTATTTTATTTTATTTATGCTTATCTAATATGATTATTTACTTAGATGATTATATGCAAAGAAAATGAAGAATTTTTACTGTCTGATGAAGATGATAAAACCAAAGTTTTTAAAAAAAAAGAACCTAATAAAGTTGATAAAAAATATTTGTGGCCACATGGTGTAACACCACCATTGAAAAATGTACGAAAACGAAGATTTCGTAAAACTCTTAGAAAAAAATATGTTGAAGCTCCAGAAATTGAAAAAGAGGTTTTGCTAAATTAATTTTTATTGAAAAGTTGTTTTATATATTGTCTAATATTGTCTTAGGTTAAATATCTTTTAAAAAGTGATAGTGAAGCCCTAAGTGTAAAATGGGAAGTAGTATCCGAAACAGAGGTTCAAAACAATAGAAAAATTAAAGAAGAACCTTTTATGCAAGGTGAAATGCATAATGATCTAAAGCAAGACATTGGTATTGTTTATAGTTTTTATAATTTTTAATTTTAATTTTTACTCGTTGAATACAATTTTCTCATGGTAGTCAATTTATTTACTTTATCTGTTAACTTCATTTTACTGTTTATTTATATTTTTTTCTATTAGCTGAAAGAGATATTTTTGGTGAAGCTCTAAGTGATTCAGATGAAGAAGCTGGTAACATAAATATAATGGATATGGATGAAGATATGAGTAATGATGATAGTCGTTTCTCTGATACTAATTCATTAATGGTAAATTTTGATTAAATTATCATTAACACTGGTGATTGGGGAAGTTTTTCTACTGTAGGTTTTGGTGTACTTGGTCATTAAGTTAGTTTCTGTAATGGATGTAATAAATTTGAATTCAATGATAATTCATTACATATAAAAAACAGTACTGAGTGGAATCTGTATGTTACTCCATTAACTTTAAGAAGATGCCACCCCCACATGTGTTATCTCCATCTTACAAATGTACATCATAGCAAAATCTCTTGCTCGGGGAAAGAACTGAGAAGGCTTCAGTCATAAATAAGAAACAAAATTTTTACCACAACAATTTGGAACTCTTTGGCAGTGCAATATTCTTTTTTTTTTTTATCAGAACTTCAAAAAAAGTTATTAAAATTTCAAAAACACAAACAATAATGGATTTTGAAACAATAAGAAATTTTTTTGTACAAGTGATATCAAAATAGAAATGATATTGCACACCCAAATTTCTCCTTTTTATGTAGTGAACATTTTGTTTCTTAGTTATTTATTTCTTAGAAACTGTAGATATCTCGGTTCTTTCTCTCGCAAAACAGTTTTTGTTTATGCTGTACATTTGGAAGATGGCAACAACACATGTGGGTGTAATGTCTTCTTGAGAAGGAACGTCGGCATCTTCCAGTGTTCATTGGGGGGGGGGGGGGGGGGGTTAGGCAACACCCATTCCCACCCATGACTACCCTGAATCAACCATATCTGTAGTTAAGCCACGTCTCTGTGAACAAACCAGCCACCGAGGTTCCCTCTTAGGGCCGTTCTTACAATGTCCGGTAAAGTGTCGGTTAACGCTAACCGACTGATAACAGATTTTATTACCGGCAGAATTCGGCCGGTTAAGTGTCGGTTAACTTTAACCGGACATTGTAAGAACAGCCCTTAATGTGAATGGAATATACTATATAGTTAACCTTTATTTCTACCCATATTTTATATTTATAGTAGTAATTTGTAGAGTGGTGTGAATAGGTGTGTGGTATAATTATTTTAAAATTAGTCTATAATATTTTAAGAATTGCATTGTGTATAGAAATAATAATATAGGTATTGAATGGTAAAAAGCTTCAATTCTCTATGATTAATATTTTTTGGATTATTACTTAATAACTAAAACAATTGGTAGAGGATCAAATGTTATTTTTCATTTAATATCCAAATTTTAATTAATAGTATTTTAAACATTTTTAAACTGCTGTAAGAAAAATTTTTGAAGCTCCTTATATTAAACTTTTTGACCTAGCTTAAAATTTTTATCAACATACATTGTAAATATTACAGAAAAAAACAATTTCAAACATCTATAAATAACACAAAAAGTAGCAGAATATTTTAAAAACTACATAATTTCTAGATTTTATTATAGTTATTTGGTAAAGTCCTGGTGATTTTTATTCTAAACCCTTATCAACTAGATCCAATTTTATAACGAAAACCACTCACAAAGTTGATGACTACCATTTTTATTGTTTAAAAAAGAGTAAACACACAAAAAGTTAAACACATTATTGTAAACCAATATATTATTGTTTCTCTTAGTCTAAAATATATTTCCTATTTTAGGAAGAGAAACCTTCGATTTCTGGATCCCAAAAGCTTGTTACAGAGTTTACTAAAGAAATGTTTATTTCTGATGATAATTCTCACCATGGAATAAAAAAAGAAGATGGAATAGATTCCACATTTGATGAAAGTATGGGTTATAGAGATGATATAGGTGATGATCTTAAGTCCGAATTAGAACTTAGCGATGAAAGTAAACATGGTGATACACCTGTTTTGTCAACATTGGTTCCATTAGAAGCTGGAAATGTGTCTGCTGGTAAGTTATTAAAAATATTAACAGATCCTAGATTCATATATATATTATAATTGTTCAAACTGAATTTTTTTTAGACGACATAAAACATAAAATTGATCAGTTACAACAAGAAATTGAAGAACTTAAAGAACGTAAAAGACAACAAGATTTGGAAATTGCAAATATTGAAAATATAAATTTAAGAGAACGTTTTATAAGTATATCTAATAATTTACTTACTGAGCAACTAGAAAAAGAACAACAGGTATACTATATTTTTTTTCCTCAGAATATTAGTTTGATTATAATAGTTCATTTGAAGTCTAATATTTTAATTTTTTTGAACTAATCTATTGTACATGTTTTGACTAATTTGTTATAGATTCAAGAACTTCAATCATTTCTTCTTTAATTTTGAATATTGATTTTGTAAGATAATTTTAATTTTGACTTAAGGCAATAATTTTACTATTGTAATATTATTTATTTTTAGATGGGTCATTTAATGTTATAATTTATTTATAAATAACTATTTTTAAATCTTGATAAGATCTTTTCATATTCTTATTTATCAATGTATATAAACAAACAATTGTATATAATTAGTATTGATATTTTGTCCACCCTCAATAAATTAAACTTTTTAAATAAACACTCAGAAATTTAATTTTTTTTTTATGTTATCAATAATTAAATTATGTACGAGTTGAAGTTTACAAATGGCATAGCAGTTGCAGAAATGACCAATAAAAAAATTAATTTCTGTTTTTTTTATATACTTTAGTAGCATCACAGTGAAGGTTTTTAGGGGAGGGGGGCCAAAACAGGCAATATTGGTACTTACTATGGATATATTATATATTATTATGAATGTAATTTAAAACCTGTAGGGCCATAAGCTCAACTTGAGGGGGGGATTAGCCTTGTTGGGCTTAGCCAACTTGTTATAGCCCCCTCAAAATAAATTATTTAAATCTTTATATATTAAACTGTATTTCTTATTTTTTTTTTTTTTTTTAAAAAAATTAAATAATTACATTTTTTCAATTTTTATTTAAACTTTTTTTTTATATTGCCTATGATAAATAATAAATATCATATTAAGCTGTATGATTGTATTTGTTTTAAGGCAACAATTTATGTCGGTATGATATAAATTATTTTGTATTTAGTAAGATTATTACACTTAATTTTACAGTATACCTATGCACTGAGCTATAACAGAGATAGTTAATAACGAAATAAAAATCCCCTGGAAAAAATCCCCGACCCTAGGAAAAAGAACCCTTAAGACTACAATATTACAGACAACCACCTGGCATTTTTAAAAAGTAATTAGTCTAATTATTACATTCCAATATTTAATTACAAATATATTATAATTTATATTAATTTAATATTTATTATAATTTACTATACTTTTCATTAATAAAATTAATAAATAATATTCAAAAATTAACAATAATATTGTTTAGTTTTATATCACGATGTGAAACAACATATTTTAATAGTTATTTTAAAAGATTACTGATTAGGTACCTACATTCATTCAACTATTTATTTAATAATTATTTATTTTATAATCTTTTAAATAGGCATTGTATCCACCTATATTAAGTAAAACTTGTAAAATCTTCTTCTTCTAATAATTTTTATTATTTACATATCGTTAAAATATTATTAGGAAACGTAATATTTTATTTTTTGGATATTATATCATAATATATAATATAAAGGTATAAAGAAAAAAAAAATTATTGTTAATGTTTGAAAATTATAATATAAATATTAAAAAATAAATAAGGTATAATTAAATACTTAGTAAATAAATAAATTTACTTAGTAAGTAAATAATTGATTTTGTTTGTATGAATTTTTTTATGTTTTTAAGTGAACATATATTTGGGCGTGGGGGTTACTTTTCATGTAATACCAGGTGGGGGCTACAGCCCCCCCCCCAAAAAAAAATGTCAGCCCTAATTGTTCCACTGTATAATTTTACACGTTGGGTTCCTTTAAGCTTAAATTTGAGTAAATGTGCCCACTGTATTGGTTAAAACATACTATAATTTAAAAAATAAATTACTCTTGCCTGTATATAGTCAATTTATGTGTCACATAAAATGACTATGCATAATATGAATACAAACATTTAAAAATTACAAAAAAAAAACTACTAATTTTCTACTTATAAGTGGTGAAATCATTCTAAGGGCCAGTTATACCGTGTACGGTTACACTTTCATTACGCTTAATCAGCTGATAGCAGATTTTAAAACCGGGCAAATTCGGCTAGTTAAACTTCGGTTAACTTTAATCAGAGATGACGCAACTGGCCCTAGTTATAATATGTATTATTTATTTTGTTAATTTCATCACAAGTTACATAAAGTTGTCTGAAATCTACTGGAAAACATTGTGATACCCAACCTTATACTATTATATCGCTACTGTTACATTTGGTTTGTAATTTGTATGTTTTAGACATAGGTATACATTTTTTTAATCTTAGTCAAGATAAGGTTGTTTAATATTGGTTGCATATTTAGTAAAAGCAGTGTTGGTAGAACAGTGATTTTTATTTTTAGTTCAATCAATTATCATAATATTATATTTACAAGTACTAAATTGTATAATTTTAAACCTACATAATGTTACGTTTTCAATCTAATTTTCATTCCGTTGATTCTTGTTTAACTATTTCTTTATTTTCGGTATCTGAAATGTTTGAGTCTACAACAGCGGCTTCCTGTTCAGCCTGTTTTTGTGAAGAATCTTCAATAAATTTTTGCATTGATTGTTGCTGATGCTCAATAAATGCTTGCATACATTTTTGATCAACAAACTTAGATTTCTGGACACAATTACTTGCGCACAATGCCTACAAATATTTAAATAATCTTAAATTATACAAATTAAACACAACAACAATTATCAATTATATTATACTAACCTCTTCACCCGTCAACCTGCTTTGTGATAATGTATAGACACATTGCGAAAAACAATCATCTGTTATTTTGTTATAGTTTTGTAAAAATTCTTTAATCTGAAAACAAAAATAAATAGATATCACACAGAACATTTAAAGAATCGGTCACAGAAATTAATTACGTACATTTTTTAACTGAACTTCTTCGTCCATCTTAAATGTCTGATATAATATATATTATTTTTACAGGTTAATTTATTGTTTCCCTTTTACTATTTTAAGTCCAAAACATATTATTCCATTTTATTTAAGTTAGTTATCGAACTCGGACATAAACGTATGGCTAAGAAGTATCGACTTGGATCGAAACGAAAGGCTTGCGCCTTGCAAGTTGCAGAAAATTTAAAAGATCACTTATCAGTTCTTATTTTTTTGATAATTATCAATTTCGTGGTTTTTGACTTTCGTTAGTAACTTTCGGTTATTTGTTATCAGCGCTCTAAATTCAATCGATATTAGTTTGTTCCTAACATCACAACTGTCAATTTGGAAAATCTGGATGGAAAATTGATTATTTTTACATTTCTAGTTTTCCATTTCCATAAATTGGTAAGTAACCTTAGTTCTTGATTATACTATTATAGTATTAAATCTAATATCTGGAGATGAACCATCAATAATCATTAACAAAAAAAATGAATAGCTCGATGATAGGTATTCCTACCTGTACGATTCACTTAGTTTTTTGCAGGTAATTTTGTTTTTGTTTATTTTTCTATAAAAAAAAAAATTTACATTAAGTTTACGTGTCTCTATCTTGAGTTTATCTCAGTTTACCCGTGTTTCATTCTCCTGAGATTGAGTACTATCAGTTAGTAGTTACCACTAAATATTTCAGGTTTGATGATGTACATTAAAATTTAAAAACATTTTAAATGTTAGATGGATTCAGTATTTCATTATCTAAATGAACAAACAAATTACATGTTTGATATTATTGGAAATAATTAACTTTCAATACATAATATTAAACTTAGAAGTTTAGAATTATGAAAAATATTACCTATACAATAAAATAACAAAACCTAATATTTTATTCAATAATCAGTTGACTTTTATTGTTTAAAGTTTTCGAATTCTATATTTATAATTAATTTATGCTGTTATTTATTTAAAACATATTTATTTTTAATGGCTTGATATTTTTTATACCCAATTAATTTTGTCATGTCAGTTTTCTGATGTACATTTTAGTTTTTAGTTTGTGTATTTTATTTATAGACTTGGTTTACAGAAGACATGTGTATACTGCATACTCATATTCTTTTTCATATTCGTGTATAATTTACTTCAAACTAGAATTGACCATTTAGACGGTGCAATATTTAAACCAGATTTAAATATTTAACCCATTTTATATTTTAAATCGCAATTTAGTTGAACTACAATTGAATAGTAAAGGATAACTAACCACATTCCACAAATGTATCATGTACACACAACACGCCATACCTATATGTAGTACCTAAATCGGCTATCATATAATTTTAGGATGTAGTGCTACAAAATCATATTATTATCTAAGTACATACTAAATAGTTGAGTCATCGTGTAAACTGTGATATACTCAATTGTGTGTATTATATTATAATAATGTTTAATATTTTAGTTTAACAGTTCATTGTTTATGGTTATCAGACATCACTCATCTTTATAGCCCATAAATAATATGATGGTCTCAATATTCATCTTTATTAAATTAAAATAATATTTGTCTATCATAGAGGTTTTTTCTATGGTTATTATTATTATTGTTTTTAGGTAATCGTGATCAATTATCAATAAAACAATTCAGTAATTAAAATGTCACGCATTACTATCTCTGGTGATCCTACAGTACATGAATATATAAACAGGAATGCAGAAACGGATAATATGCATCCTGCAATATTAAGATCAGAAATTGAAGCAAGACCTCTGAGACCCAGAACATATGTTCCTAATTCGTTGCCTCTTACCAATACCGCTGGTAAGTTTCACATTTGTTTACAATTAACAGTGCTTTTGTTAATTTATGATTTTTTTTTAAGCTCCTCGAGGTTATACACCAAGCCCTACCCAAAATGGTGAAATTCCACATCAAAAATTTCCTTCATCTAAAATTGATGTTATTAAAAATTGGAGTGTATCAACATATAAATGTACTAAACAATTAATCAATGAAAAACTGGGAAAATCATCTAAAACAGTTGATATAGGTATTATTGTAAACTATTGGTACTTTAAATGTTAAAGTTAGAAATATTTAATTAAATCATTTTAGAATTGGAGACTGAAATTGAGCAATTGAGAGAAACACAAAAAAAATATGGAAATATTTTGAAATTAGCTAAAAGCATGGCGACACAATTTCAATGTTTTATTTTAACCCAAGTAAGAATAAGATGAAAATTGTATCACCTAATATAACCGCTTAACTAATATATTAACAAAATATCAGAAAATCAAGCAATTAATTAAAAATAAGAAATAGGTACTATAATTAATAAAATATTATAATGTTGTATTGTATATTAATACCATTTTAACTTGTTTCTACAATTTAACATTTTGGGGTGGGCCATGTCATAATTTTGGGCCAAAACTAAAACTAGTGAGATAGACTGAATAAATAAATTATCACTATAATTAAAATTTTAAATTCCTAAATTATTTTTCTTACTATGTGAATGTTTTGATAAATTTATTTTTATTTTTATAAAGCAATCACTTGGGGAAGCATTTGCTGAATTGGGCCAAAAATCACCAGAACTACAACAAGAATTTGTGCAGAATTCAGAAACTCAGAAATGTTTATCAAAAAATGGAGAAAGTCTTTTGAATGCGCTCAATTTTTTTGTTTCATCAGTCAACACGTTGTGTAATAAAACTATTGAAGATACATTAATTACCATAAAACAGTATGAATGTGCAAGGTAAATAAAAATGTTACTAGTTTTTAATCGCTCTGCTTGGCGCATGAACATATTTTTATCTCCCTGCTGCTACTATGTTATTTTCTTGTTTCCCATGTAATCGATATATTGCATATAATACTCATCAAAAACTAATATATTCTAATAATAACGTACCTAGGGGGCAAACAAAACAGGTTTTCTGTACACAGGTCGGGCTTATGACTGTAACTATATGTTTATAACTATGACAATGTTGCGGGTGGGGAACCGGTCGCCCCCTGCTCAACGAGATACGTTCTTATTCCACGGCGAGTATAGTTACTTGATGGTTCTTGGGACATATATACTATTATTATAGAGCAGTGTTTCTCAATATTTTTAAGACCGCGACCAAAATTTATCTCTGAAAATCCATCCACCCACATGGTTTATTTGCAAGATTCAAAATTAGTTCTAAAAACAAAATTTGCTTACTATTATTATAACTTATTACTTAATTAATTTATAAATTATAATGAATACATTTCTTAAAATCTATATAATTTTAAAAACTTATCGCAACCCACCAATAATTAACTCACGACCTACGGTTTGTGAAACACTGCTATAGAGTATAGGTACTATTGGTATTAATATAATATATAAGGTGGTTATATCACAGAAGAAATTAAAAATTAGGTGTTTAATTTATTGGTTTTATTACATAATTGACTATAGAACCTGCAAAATATCATATAAGTTTTTAATGATATTATACAATGTATGCCATGGGTGATATTAAATGCTGGAAAATAACAGGTGGCAAGGTGATACAATTACTTTCATGTACCGGAAAATAACAAACCAGTAATATATATTTTAGATTCTGAGTGAAACGATGAATGTATTGATTTTACAATGATGTGTGTTTTTTTATTTATTTTTGTGTCTGTATAAGTAGGTGAAATAATGCTTCGATTTTAAACTTCAGTATCTTGTTGGACGGGAAAGTGAATAACGTTGGTGCATTGGGGAGGTCAAAATTCCCAACAGTTTTAAAAATTGCCAAGAAAAACAAAATAAAAATTAAGGAAAAACGGGAATTTTTACGCCAAATCGATTTTGGCTCTTAGTGTAACTCTAAAACAAATAACTGTAGATACATGAAAATTTCACTGAATGTTTATATTTGCATTTTCTATACACGATAAAATTTTCAAAATATTATGATTTGTTTTGAACTATTTAGAAACATTTTCATTTTCCATTTTTTTTTAGTTTTTTTTCTAAAAATATCAATAAAATTGTATTTGTTGGTTAAAAAAGCTTGAAAATTCAATAGAAGGCTCCTAGTATATTGTTTCAAAGGTAGATGAAAAATATTAAAAATTCTTAGTCATAGTTTTTTTTTATAAGCATTTAAAGTTCAAAAATTGACAAATCACGAAAATTATCAAATTATTTTGAGTTAAGAATTCATAAAAAATTTTCTTTTTAAATCTAAGATTTGAAAATGTAATACAAGATTACACATAAGCTTTTCGACCTCTATCAATAAAAAAATCTCTACCGGAAAGTCAAATTAAATTTTTATGAGTGTTTAAAGTTCATAATTATACGATTTTGGATATTCACTCGATTTCTCATGTAGCGATTTACTTATTTTGTTTTAATTCAAAAACAAATAACTGTAAATACATGAAAATTTCACTGAATGTTTATAGTAGCATTTTCTATACACCATACAATTTTGAAAATATTTTGACTCTTGAGCTGTACACGGACATTTTCAGTTTTTAATTTTTCTAGTTTTTTTTTTATAAATATCAATAAAGTTTTATCTGTTAGACCAAAAAGGGTAAAAATGTAATACAATGCTCCTGATATATTGTTACAATAGCAATTGAAAAATATAAAAAATATGTAGGTACAAGTTTTTATTATAAGCATTTAAAGTTCGAATTTTGACAACATTTATCAAAATCTCAAAAATTATCAATCATTGTAATTAAATTATAAAATGTTCAGTTTTTATAGCTAAGGATTTAAAATTTAAAACAAGATTCCATGTAAGTAGTTACCTATGTTACCAAAAAATCTAAAAAATACACAAGCACTGTTTATTTTTATAGTCATTTTAAGTTCAAATTTGGACGAAATTACATATTAAAAAACCTAGAATAACTATTTTAGTTATTTTGTTGTGATTGTATAATATTATTTGTGGGTACTTGAAACTTCTAAAGTGTACTATTACATATCTATGATAGTATCAGGGTTTGTTGTTGATGTATAACGCGTTATAACCTAATGGATATTGTAATATGATTAATTTGGAATTTTTTATAGGTACCTATTATAGGTCAATTTTTTTTAATACCATAGATATGTATATTATATATCTTAAACCAAGACTGACATACCTTCTCGGCTCAGAATCGTTTTTCTTATACAATGATATTATATCATAGAATTCAAATTTAATGCCATCCATTATACAGTGACCCACTTGTACCCTACAGAACAGCAGAGCACCTTTTTTTGATTATTTTCACATTTAAAAATTCAAAATATTAATTGTTTTTCAGAATCGAATATGATGCTTATCGTTCAGATCTTGAAATGTTAGCACAAATGCCAAGAACAGATTCTAATACAGTTCGTGTTGGTGATGCTCAGCAAAATTATCAACAGCACAAAGAAGAATTTGAAAAATTACGTTCAGATGTGATTGTTAAGTTGAAATTTCTTGATGAAAATAGAGTAAGCAAATTAGATAAAATAATACTAGTTAGTATTTAATAATAAAGTGCACATTTTCACTTTTCTGTTTTTTGAAAATTAATATAATATATTATAATATATAATATTATTTAACATTAATCTACTGTTTTAGGTGAAAGTAATGCATAAACAACTTTTGATGTTTCATAACGCAACATTGGCATATTTTTCAAATAATCATCAAGCACTCGAAACCACCTTAAAGCAATTCAATGTGAAACCTAAATCACCTACTGCTTCTTCAGTAGCTGCATCGTGGTTAGAAAAATAATTTTAACTATAAAGGTGGTTCACAAATTTCTTTGTGTTACTTTAAAATTATAAATTAAATTTAAATTTATTTATTTTACACTGTGATGATCTAATTTATTAACATTCTTTTTTTATTGTTTTTGCTTGACATAAGTAAATTTACACTATGTGTACCTACTATCTACTATTATCAAAATCGAGTATATAGTTATTACTTTTTTTTGTATTCACTGTTTTGTTTTGTTTGCTTAGTATTTTGGCTAATTTATTTTTAGCTTTAAAAATAAGTATGTGTTTATTAAATATCATTAAATTATCAATTTCCAGTCTTTTTTTTGACTGCAAGTTATTTTCAGATTTGTTTTTATACTTACAAATTTATTTATGCATGACACTCAGCTTGAAACATTACCAATCAAGTATTTAAATTTCACAATATTAATAGATCAATGGATGTATAAAATAAAATAAAATAAAACAAAATTAACACACTAAAAGATTAATAGGATAGGATAGTTCTTCTTTTGTTATCATAATAGAGTCGTACTTTGAGTTCCTCACTTAAACATTATGTTTTTGATGTACATAAGTTAATAATATTATAAATTATAATTATACGATATATTTATCGTTCTCTAAAAATCGATCCTAGGCAGTATGTATTACATTTTTATTATTTTAAAGGTATGGTTTTTAATTAGCATAATTATTATAATTGCAAGTAAGAACATTTTACTACAGTAATTTGACCCTAAGAGAGGCCAGAATATCTATGGGACAACATGAATTAAGCCAGGAAATAACAGGTACTATTATGCACTAAGCAAAATTATTTTGACATAGTTAAAAACAGAAGAGTATGCCGTGCAGGGGGGCAATTCTTCTATAATAACTCTCGTCTCTATAATTATAATAGATATTTGCTTAGAAAAGACATAGAAAAATGCTCCATAACACTAAATAGTAAATATTATATTTAAAATTGTATTATGCCTACTTGGTCACTACTGTATATAAATGCATATTTTAATAGATACTAGGTTTACAAAATTAAAAATATGTTGATGTCTGTGTGTAGTGCATATTTTCATTATTTTGTAATTTTCGATTTATCAAAGTTAAATGTGTCTAATGAGTTTGGACGAATAATAGTTAAAAACACATTTGGAAAATAGATGGCACTCGGCCTAACAATAATAAATGTATTATTATTTTTTGCAATATCGTATCCGGATGGCATTGGTCGTCCGATAACGCGGCCTACTTATATTATACGATAGTGCATTTATATCAGCAACACGTGTAGGAAATTAACTTTAATTATCCGTCATATTTTGTAAAAAGATTATCGTGCGCTCCCGTGAAGGACGACCGTGCCATCTCGGCAAAGGCCATCCTGGTAGGTACTGTATCGGACAAGCCGCAAAAGGAGAGCTGTTGGTGAGATGAACGAGAGAAAAACAATGTACGAAGCAAATCGGTAACACTACCCAAACTACAAAGTGCAAATTCAGGCTATTATTATGGCAAGAAAAGACGGGACAACACCGGACACATTGACAGGCACTTAACCGGAATCGATGATGGATGAGTATTGAGTGGTGTTAAGTCGAGAGCAGGTCCATCAAGTCAGCTCGTGAATACTAACGTGACAACAAAAGCAAAAACAGACAAACGAACTGGTTAAGTTTAAGTAATTAAGTAGGTACCTATGAATTGTAAGCTCAAGGCAACAATTTAGGTCAAAGGCTCAAAAATGTATATTACAATGGAATGTAATAAGTAATAACGTAGGAGTAACATATTTTAAAATATTTGTAAAAGTTGCTATAAAAAATAAATAAATAAAGGTTGTTGGAGGGTGAAATGACGATAATCATATTATAGTCCGTGCCACACTGCCACCAGCATTCGATTCTATGTAAGTAGAAAAATAAATAAATAGTATTTACCTATTAGTTAGTGTTCTAGCAGGTACTAGGTGCCTACCAATTTATTTGGATAAATTGTTGTATGAAACCATACAAAATAAAACTGAATTATTGGTAGCCGGTAGGTAACAACTTTGTACCTACCTACCTAAAATAGACGTCAATCCAGATTCCAGGCATATAATCTATGCACTATTAGGTCTAGGTACTATCCAGGAGCGGATCCAGAAATTAAAAATGGGAGGGGCTAGGCGAAAAAAAATACTTCAAGCACATACAAGCATTGGCATTGAGTTTAAGTTTTTGCAATGAATATAATATGCATCGTACGTGCATAATATTATAAAATAATAATACTATTTAAATATTGAAACAAATATTTATTTATTCAAACGGGCTTGCGCCCAAATAAAAATAGTAGGTACCTACTTAATACATATTACAATATAACAGTATGAGTATACCTATTATGACAATGTTATTATCAAACAACAAGTAGGTATATATTATGCCCGACGAAATTACATATCAAGGAAAGAGGGGTCCAGCTGGGTCCTCATTTGATCGTTTTTAACGATTTATCGACTCATAACACATAATATAGGTAATCTGTTGAGCAGAGAGGAATATGAAGATTCTGGATCAGTGCCTGCATGAGAGTTGTACCTATATGGAAAACACCGATCACTTTATTTTATTTATACCACGACTACCACGAGCTGAATTATATAAATTGCATTATCGAAAAAATTTAGTTTCAACATTATATTATATCGATTAGTTAAAATGTATTTGTAAATGTAATTGTCTTCATGACTACTCTATTATCGAGATACGCCGATATAAACCTACTTAGCACCGTATTTTAGGTGTGTTAATTTTTTCCCTGGTTGAGTCGGGTGAAACAGGCAACAGCTAGTATTATAATATAATTACGTAGCCGAGAGTGAAATATTTTTGAGTACTTACCTAATGACAAAGTGGGAGGCTGCATAGCCCCCCCCCCCTTATATCCACGCCTGGTAGGCATCTACTATATTATACTGTACTTACTGTAATATCATAATACCGGACCTTACTACTGTAGTTTTTTTTTTTATATTCTAAATATACAAATTTTAGTTGATAATAACTACAAAACACACAAAAGAATTAATATCAAATGCTGTTTATTAAATGTAAAAAAATATTAACTTATATTTTTAAACTTGGGTAGTTTTATACTTATGTAGCTTTCTAAGAAGTGTCTATAGTAAAGTAGTAAATAAATACTTTTAATATTTTCCTAATATTTTAATATGTTAATATTAAAGCTGTAAAGGTTAAAATCAAATAATAATAATATCTTCAAAATATAGGTAATATGTTAACACTATGAATTATTTTAGTCTTATTATAATTTTGTCGGAGCGGTGAAGGGTCTACTTATTTTTTTTTTATCAGGTCTATTTACTGTGAGAATACGCATTGATGTTCCACAAATGTTGTTAGAATCGTCGGTGAATGACGTTGGTTTTGCATTTTTTTTTTCAGAAATAATTTGCTGTTGTTTTCTAATTTTCGGAGTACACATTTTTTGTAGCCGCACATCATCCTGAAGTTAAAAAAATTATATTCATTATGATTTATCGTTAGTACCTACGAAATATTTTATTACGACTTGATAAGAGTTTGAAAAATGATTGTATATATTAGCTTACAAGTGTATAGGTAGCCAGGTAGGCACCTAAATACCTATGTAGGTATTTATTCGAACTCCTAAGTTGGTGTTAATAGTATCAATTTATAAGATATAACGTAAATAATACCTGTTCCGCGTCCATAAACTGTTTTAAAATTTTTTTTAACTCCATATTTTCGGTTTCTAGTTGTTCGACTTCTTTCATTTTCTTGAAGCGGACTAAACATAATATGGAATACGAATTACAAAATGAAACATCAAACTGAAACAAATATATCAAAGGTATACGTCATATATTTGTGCGTACGGTGTAACGTTTGGTAATATTTTTTGATTGCTTTATCGAAAACATCCCACAGGATCAAACGATCTTCGGGAAATGCGTACATAAACTGTTTCCAATAATCACTTATATCGTGTAAACTTAAAGTGTTTGTTAAGTAAAAATCCGAACTATTTTGGCCACGTTGGTCTAAAACCTTTGACTTCGAAGTATCGATAGATTTTTTTATGATACGAAGATAATCCGTATCGTTAATCGTTAGTGGATGGTTAGGATTATCGCACGGTTTTCTTTGAATGGTTGGATCTCCTAAAAAAATGAAAACTTATAAGCACTTTGATATTCTCACGTTAGAAACCGTTTTCAATTCAATTTGGGTGTCGCTAAAATATTGTTATTTTTGTTATAACCTAAGTTATAAGCGATTTGGGCCTTGGAGAAACGAGTCAGATTATGTTTTACAAAAAATGTCTGACAAATGGATATTTTTAAAACAATTTATATTAATTGTTTTTACTTTCTTCTTTTTGACTGTATTTCAATTGTGTGGCTTCTAAAAAATTATTTTGTTCTTCGTTTTCCATTTGAAAATGTTCGAATTCCACCTGAGAAACTGCTTGAGCCATTATTATTTTGTCTTATTTCAAAAATATAAAGCACGTGTTACTCACGAGAGTGTTGAGATTTTATAGCTGGGTTCGAATCATTTTCACTGCACAATTGTTCAAAGTCTGTCAGCGATAAGGAAACTAAACAAAACATCGTTTCAAAAATATTAATAAAACGATTAGGAACTTTCGATCATCATTATTTTTGTTATCGTAACAAAACATTAAATTAACAATTATTTTTATCAATCATTTAATTTCATAAAAACAATATCGCAGATGATAGGTATGTTAAATATCATTTAGAAATTGAGATGTTTTTTATTATAACAATATTACAATAGTAGCTCATCGTACATGTGATAGTCGAATTGTCAGAGTCTGTATTAGCACGTTCTAACGACTGATAGTCATTATATTTCGCGTTTACAATCGTGTTGATATCATAATCAAGTGGTGTTGGCTTGTCTTTGAAAAAATGTATACTATTATTCGAACGTTTTCTAAAAATTATGC